TATATATATATATATAAACTCATAAAATAAAATAAAGACTTTTAATAATAAATAACGTGCAACATTTATTTATGATAAGAAAGTACACAAAAAAATGTAAAATCAATCACATCAATGTGGTTGGAAATATTTAATAGCACTATTATGATAACCAATAAGTTATGCCATTTAATTATTAGCTTATTGAATTTAATAATATTGCTAATCAACAAAATGTATTCCAATCACACTAACTGAATTTACACTTTTTTCAGCGTGCACAGACAGTTTTGTAATACTTTTTACTATAAAATTTCTTCTATGTAGTGATGTATCTTTTCCTCTAATGTGAACTCACAAGCTACGTTCCAATATCTACTATTGGTACTGAAACTCTATATGTACATAACTCAAACTATAGATCTTAAATACTGGTAGTGAATATCGGAACACAGTCATAATCATTATTGAACTTTATTACATTTATCAATGAAATTGTTTTATTTTATTTATAAGTTTACGCGCTAGATGAAAAGATACATCATAGATTTAATGTTTATTGCGCACGTAATGCGTCCATTCTGATTGGTGCAGTCTATAACTCTCTTAATCGAATTCGAAGTTCTATCGTTCTCTATCATTCTCTCTTATTCAATCATTGGAATAAGATTAGAATTAATTCCAAGTAATCACGACAAAAAGAAATAATATTGTTGTCTATCTAGGTGTACTCTTCACAGAATCGAATTCTCTTAACGATCGTTTCATATAATTTCTTTTTCCATAATTATGAATTAACGGAAGCCTAGTCAATCATAAAAAATCAATTGTAAATTCATAGATTGCTTATCGTAATCTATCGTAAAGTCGTTACGTCAAGAGTGGATATTTTTCTATCGTATTATTTTAAAAATTGTAACACATTATCGCTAAATGTTTCGCGCATTGTAATTTTTTAATAAGATACTTATACAAAGAAAACGCACACACGATTTTATTGATTCAAAAAAGAATCAATCGTGAATTTACGATTAATTTTTTTTATAATTGACTAAGTTTCCGTTAATTCATGAATGATTATGGAAAAAAAAACGATAAGAAACGAATAAGAGAATTCGATTCTGTGAATAGTATACTTAGATAGAAAACGATATTATTTCTTTCGGATTCGATATAGTGAAATGATACATTACGATAGAAAACAATTAAATTCTCTGCAAATTCATTCATTTTCTATCGCTTTCTCTTTTTCATTTATTATTATCATAGAAATTTATTACAGTTTGAATTTTAGCTATTTTTGTTGTCTTATGAAGTGACGTCGTAATCGTAATTGCAAATGTGTGGGTCTCAAGTGATTATTTTATTTTATTTACGAGTTTACGCTAAATGAAAAGATACATGATCGATTTAATATTGATTGCACACGTAATATGCGTCCATTCTGATTGATGCAGTCAATACGAAAATCTTTATAATATTTCACCTACAAAAATCTTTTCTTTCTCGCCAATTAATTTTAAATTCAGATTACATGTTTGCAGTGCGGATCGCGGACATCACAAGCGCAGATTGATATAACACTATAAGAAAATATAAGGTGTAGTAAAAAGAAATCCATTATTTTTGCATGAAATTGAAGGCTTTATTTAGCATAGTTAGAATGATCCGATTTAGGTCAAATATGCACCGTTATGTTCGATAACGTGTTGCCATTTTGAAGGTAATTCCATTATGCCTCTCTCATAGAAACCCTTGTCCCTATTGGCAAAAAACTGGGACAGTCGATTTTCACAAGCTTCTCTTGAGGCGAATTTTTCACCAGCAAAACCATTCGCCATAGACAGGAACAGGTGCCAGGTCCGGACTATAAGGTGGATGCATAAGAACCTCCCAACCAAGCTCCCAGAGCTTCTGGCGAGTCACTATCGATGTGTGTGGCCTGGCGTTGTCCTGATGGAACACAATTCCTCTCCTATTGGCCAAAGCTAGCCGCTTCTAGGCGATTGATTCCTTCAGACGGTCCAACTGTTGACAGTACAGGTCCGAATTAAGAGTTTGGCCGTAGTGGAGCAGCTCATAGTGGGTGATTCCCTGCCAATCCCACCAAACACACAACAAAGCCTTCCTGACCGTCAATCCTGGCTTGGCCACCATTTGCGCCGGCTCATCGCGTTTCGACCACGACCGTTTTCGCTTGACGTTGTCGTAAGTGACCCACTTTTTATCACCAGTCACCATCCGCTGCAGAAATGGGTCGATTTTGTTGCGATTCAACAGCGATGCGCAGATGGAAATTTGGTCCATGAGGTTTTTTTTTGCGTTAACTCGTATGGCACCCATACATCGAGCTTCCCTTTGTATCCAGCCTTATTCAAGTGGTTCCAAACGGTTTTTTGTGCATTGTTTAGCTCCTGGGCAATCGAAACAGTGCTTACATGACGGTCGGACTCGACGATTTTCATTATTTTATCGACATTTTCGACAATTGGCCTTCCAGAGCGTGGTGCATCTTTGACATCAAAATTACCGGAACGGAATCGACGAAACCAAAATTGCGCGTGATTGGCTGTTATAGTATCAGGACCATAAACACTATTCACATTTTCAGCCGCCTGGCTTGCGTTTTCGCCTTTATCGAAGAAAAACTGTAAAATATGGTGTATTTTCTTTTTGCTGGTGTCCATCTTTGACGCGCGCTCAAACAATACTGAGTCAAATAATCACAAAACTATCTGAGAAGCTTTTTTAGTACGAAATCTTATCTTTCTAACGCCATCTAGCGTAAACCGATCACACTTATACAACGCGAGATACACATTACTAAAGCCCTCTATTGGAAAAATAATCGATTTCTTTTTACTATACCTTATATATTTGAAATTGTAATTACTTCATATGTACATCTAATCGTCGATCATAATTCTTCTCCTCTAGTCTAACGTAAATTCTTGAACATGTTGCTTATTGCAGCCTATATATATATATATATATATATATATATATATATATATATATATA